ACACATTACTGCCACACACACGCGCCCACACACACACACTCAAATTTCACACACACACACACACACATACACACACACACAAGTTGCACACACACACACACACACACACACACACACACACACACAGAGAGCACTTGCTGCTGTTTTCACTCTCTCTCTGTGAATGTTTAATACTCTGTCCAGTAGGGGGCAGCAGTGATTTAATCACAATCATGACCTCACAACGCTCCTCTGATTTGATTTATGCATGTATGCATAATATATTTTATGTATTATAGTAGTATTTGTATTGCTATGCATGCATGACACAAATAATATTTATGTTTTTAGTAAAATAATATTTATTGTGTTATTTAGATTAAATATTTATAATATGTATATTATTTATAATATTTGTAATAATATTTTTTATTCATAACAATAATAAAATATAATAATAATTATTGTTATTATTATGCAAACCTGTATAACATTTATTATTTAATAATATATTTTAATATTATTGCTATTATTATTCAGACTTGCATGACACAATTTGGAATATTTATAATAATGATGGTAATAATATAGTAATTATTATTCTTTTTAAAAGAAATGCATGCTTTTATTCAGCAAGGAGGATTAATAAATAAATCACATCATAGGCATTTATAACAGTTTATTTGTTTATATGGTATGGTTTAAATGTTAAATAAGTTAATAATTTTGTTTTATATATGTTTAAATAACTAAATGAAAAGTTAATTCATGTCTTAAAATGTGGTTAATAATAAAATAATAAATAATTTTGCAAATTTGAATCATTTTTACTTTAAATGTTATTATTAATTTGTCATTTTAGTTTTTAATGACTTAATTTTAAAATATGAATTAACAGTTTTATATATATATATGTGACCCTGCAGCACAAAAGCAGTGTTAAGTCGCTGGGGTATATTTGCAGCAATAGCTAACAATACATTGTATGGGTCAAAATTATTGATTTTTCTTTTATGCCAAAAATCATTATGATATTAAGTAAAGATCATGTTCCATGAAGATATTTTGTAAATTTCCTACTGTAAATATATCAAAACTTAATTTTTGATTAGTAATATGCATTGCTAAGAACTTCATTTGGACAACTTTAAAGATGATTTTCTCAATATTTAGATTTTTTTGCACCCTCAGATTCCAGATTTTCAAATAGTTGTATCTCGGCCAAAAATCTCTATTTCGAAAAATTTACCCTTATGACTGGTTTTGTGGTCCAGGGTCACATATGTCTGATAATTTGTCCATTTAAAAGTGACATTTCTTCCACTTGTATGTTTGCATGATTAACTGTATAAGTTGCTTGAATCGTCGGTGTGGCTTCTGGTGACTGTCTGTGTTGCTCTTCTCAGGCTGTCGTGTTGCTAGATGGAGTCTGAGCAGCTGTTCAACAGAGGCTTCGGCAGGAACAGCTACAACAGCATCACCAGCGCCAGCAGCGACGAGGAGCTCCTCGATGGTGCCGGCGTCATCATGGACTTCCACACCACCGAGGACGACAACCTGCTCGACGGGGACGCGTCTCCAGGTACAGCAGGCCCACATCTGATGCTCACTCACCGTCTCAATTATGACCTCAGGTGCCTTCAAGTGCTTTTGGTTGAATAAAATGGACTTTCTGGGCAGTTTCATGTTTCTTTCTCTCTTTGGTGCTTTTTAGCGATAGTGCTGCTTTTTTAGTGCTAGTGCTCATTGTTGGACTCATTGTGAACTAATGATTCACATATGCTTTTGTCAGTCGAACCCCTTTTTACCGAAAATATTCACTTGATGTGCTTCCTGAAATTTTAAGTTAGGCTACTATTTCAGTAATTTAACAACACATTCACATTTTTGTGATTTTCTTTGATGTCGGTTAATGGTCACATGACATGTAGATAAACAAAACAAATGCCCCACTGTATATATATATATATATATATATAAGGCCCCTTAGTTAACTGCATTAGTTAACGAGCTAAAAATGAAAAATACTTCTAATGCATTAATTTTGGTTAATGTTAATTTCAACATTTAAGTTATCAAAATACATGATCAAAATCAAACATTTTATCTGCTAACATTATTTAATGGAAGTTAATGGTCACACAACATGAAGATAACCAAAAAGAATGTTTTAAAATTATATTAGGTATGTATTCATATTTAATATTGATACAAATATTAATATTTTATATCAATATTTTGATTTATCGATATTTTAAAATATTTTTTAAATGTATTTGTTTCTGTAAGGATTTTTGGCTTAATTGGTTTTATTTTTTAGATATTTATTTTAATGTTACAGTTTTATGATTTATTTAATTCAGTCAGTTCGAGTTAAGTCATCTTTAATTCTATAGCGCTTAATACAATACAGACTGTTTCAAAGCAGCTTTTCTGTGATAAACGAGACAATAATGATTCAGTGATGCAAACAGAATTTAACCAAAAAGACAGGCGTAAACAGTCATTATTCAGGTGAGGTCAGTTCAGTGAATAAAGTCAATTATTGGCTTTTCATCTGCTCACATATCCCAGTTTTGGAAACCCTGTTTTGAACAGTTCACGGCTGCACATTGCAATTTGTAGGTGTTCATTGAAACATAATAACCTGCTGCACCTCTGAAACAACTTTCCTTCTCTGATAACATCTTCAAGCCCTCTTGTTTTTTAGCCCCTCCCCGTCGGCCATCTGGATCCATTATAATACATGACACCTCATTTTCATGATCCAATCTTTTTTTTCATGTTGAATATTTCGTTTCACTCAGAAATATACCACATTTTGGAAATGATATGGAATCTGAATGCAGTTTTATATTAAAATGTGTTAGTATCTGTGTCCAGCATAACCGTATGAGAAATGTTGCATGAACCACAGCTCAGCCACAAGTTGTTTCTTTATTGTACGAGTCCTGTTTATTTTTAACAGGCATGATGTGATCTCACTTGTGGTTGATATGCAAGCGTTATATTTGCTCGTGTTCATATTTCCGGTGCTAAAGTTGTTCAGGTTTTACCTTTCAAAGGTTTGGGGTCGGTAAGATTTTTAATGTTTTTCAAAGTAGTCTCTTCTGCTCACAGAGGCTGCATTTATTTGATCAAAAAAAAGAAACGTAAAATCTGTAAAATTCTGAAATATTATTACAATTTAAAATAACAGTTTATGGTTAATTATTCATATTTCCCATGAGCTGATTCGCTACATCTATTTGAATATAGAGTAAAATATAATTAATTTCTGTGATCAAAGCTGAATTTTCAGCATCATTACTCCAGTCTTCAGTGTCCCATGATCTTCAGAAATCTTTCGAATATACTGATTTTCTGCTCAAGAAACATTTATTTTTTCAGGATTCGTTGATGAGTAGAAAGTTCGGAAGAACAGCATTCGTTTGAAATAGAAATATTTTGTAACATTATTAAGGCCCTATGAAATTTTGGATGGATACATCAAAAGTAGGTCAGTTCACTTAAAACAAAACTCAATATAGACTGGTGTCTTTGAACATTAAGCCACAAAAATACCATTTAAATATGAATCCTGCATGTTCTACGTGTCTCTGTGTGAATGAATGGCGCAGACGCGCGGTTTTGTTTACTACTCATACTGAAGTGCGCATGAGGCTCGTGGTGATTTCAGCGCCTGTCGCCTCTATATGAGTACATGAACACTTAAACATAATCTCCATAACTGCTCAGAGAGTCACTTCATGAGCATTTCACCATATCTTTTGAGTAAAACTATCATCATATTCTATTCAAACAGAAACCTAAAGGTCTTTACAGCAACCCGTCAAAATAAAAGTGCGGTTTAACTTGAAGAAACTGTGACGGAAATATTACTTAATGTAATGATAGTACTACAACTACTACTACTAAAATTATTATTAAAAAGTTTTTTTTTAAAGATATATTTACCAGAATTTATTTAGCAGAAAAATAAAACATTTCATAGGACCTTAAAAATTTAATTTTTGTTAAATATTTAATAAATTGAAGTTTAATATGGTAAGTTTTATGATTTCAATTAATTAGACATGCTTTTTGATAAATAACATTTAATTTCTAGAAACGTTAAACTGAAAAAAACTGAATTTAGAAAATTTTAAATGGAAAAAATGGAATTTGGGAAAAAACAAAACTGATTTCATGGGTCCCTACATTATAAATGTCTTTACTGCCACTTTTGATTAATTTAATTTTAGGTCATGCCTCCATGCCAGACGATTAAGATCCAGCCCCGGACGTCAGATCTCGTTAGAAAATATCAGTTTTGACTGGTACCAGAACAACTCTTCAGCAAAGTAGTCTAATACCCAAAACCTGTTAACAGGAAGTCTTGTCTGGTACCTAAAATACTCAGAACTGTATTAACAGTCTTCTATCAGCCAAGAAGTTGACTGAGAAACAAGCCAGTGAAGAGCAGAAGCAGGAGATGAAGTGATGATAAAAAAGGATCAGAGTTTATTGAATAGTCTGTTGCGCATGTTTCAATGCTCAGACTTCGTAAGACTAAACAACAATAGAAACATATTATAAAAAACAACAATATAATATAATATAAATGACTAATCAATAAAAAAATCTATAAAATGGGTATATAAATGACTAATGATTATTATAAAGGTTTATATGATTAAATGGAATAATAAAATGATTAAATTATAAATTATTATAAATTAATGAAGAATAAATGAATATAAAAGAAAGAAAGTAAAACACAACACAAATGTATGGTTGCTCTCTTGAAGCAAAATGCGCACAGTTTGCATTTGAGGATCCTCAGATCCTTCATAATGCATGCTTGCTGAATAAAAGTATGAATTTCTTGCAAACGGTAGTGTTTTACGTCACTTTTCTGAGTATGACTCGTCGGACAGCAACAGCCTGGTGATTTTGGTGGTTTGGCACACAAACGCACTGCTATTGGGTTTCTGACTGCAGGACACACAGCTTCTTCTAGAAGTGTGTGTCATTATTAAAGCAGTGGGATGACAACATGCATAAAAACAGTGTTGTACAGTTTTGCACACAGAGGCCATGAGATCTGAGTCGGGCTGCTCATTATTCATGAGTGTCTCCGCAGCAGCGGAGTGGCGTCCCGCAGACTTTTGTTTGCTGGATCACACACAACAAGAGCTTTTGTCTGCGTGTAACAGCGAGGAGTCGCCTTTCAGTGTCATTCTCAAACAAACTCTCATTCAGAAACATCTAGCTACTGGGGTGCCTCAGGGCTCAGTTCTTGGACCACTTCTCTTCTCTGTCTACATGGCATCGCTAGGTTCTGTCATTCAGAAGCATGGCTTTTCATATCACTGCTATGCTGATGACACTCAACTCTACCTCTCATTCCATCCTGATGATCCGACGATAGCTGCTCGCATCTCAGCATGTCTAACACAAACTCACTCTGAAACTTACCCATCCGACACAATACACAAGCACACTGTAAAAATAAATAGTTGAGAAAACAAAAAAATAAGGCAACTTGATGCAGTAGGACTTTTGAGTTCTGTCAACAATAGTATTCTAGTTCTTCTCAGTAAAGATACTTTGTTTAACCAATGTAAAATGTATTTGTTCATGCAATGCTGATTGTCTTATTTTGCTAATAGAAAAATTCATCACAGCTACTGAAACAACAATTACTGTCATTGAGGTAGTTTATTTTTTCTGTTTCCTGGAAGAATGTATATAATGTATAAAAAGGCGCCACATTATTGATTTTATGTTTATTTACGAATGACAAACTTAGTGTAATATGTAGACAACATTGTCTTTGCTTCTAAAACAACTTACAAGACTAAGATATCCAGGAAATGGATGTAAGTAACTGAACATTCTCTAGGCCTCAGAACTAGACACACAAACCTCGGCAATCATAGTTAAAAAGATGAGCTCTTTACATCACGGTACAACAAATAACTAACAATAATTACAAAACAACAAAAACAGTTTAAATGAAGTCAGCAAACAGCAAAACAATAATCCTACAACAGTAACTGCATGATTTATTCATGCTGCAATGCATGCTGGGAACTCACAAAGCCTTAACATTTCAACAATAGGCAATTCTTTGTTCAGACAACTGTGTTTGACTAGTTGGCACAACATTTGGGGTCATTTTGTTGGTCTGACAAGGGTTTTTATGTAGTTTCAAGAAAATAGCATTTTTTAGTATTTGAGACTCAAAAGGTTTCGTAAACTGGAAAATGTGCAGTTGCATTTTTTACAGTGCAGAGAATGATGGGAAATCAGGTGTCATTAGCATGACATAACGAGCCAGTTACAGAATCTACAGTGAAATATGAATCTACAGTGAAATATAATCTACAGGGAAACATCTGAGTGAAGTATGTCTTGGCTTAAAAGAGAGAAATGACACATGGGAACCAGTCCGGCTGCCCTGTCAGCATGAAGGAGGCGCTTCAGGAAGTTTGGACAGACTTGCGCCGGTTGTTGTGTGTGACGACGTGTCAGGTGCGGAGTGTGTGTGTGTGTGTGTGTGCGGGACGCTAATGTCATGTGAAGCTGAAAACACTA